CTTATGTTCTTGAGCAGTACGAAGAGACCATGAAAAGTAAATGCCCTCCTCAGATATAAAGCTTCAGAGGGCAGTGCGATACAAGTCTGGATCTTTTTTGATTTCTCAGAAGTTCAACGAGAGCGTTCTTCAAGATAGTGAAAAACGTTGAGTTTGAACTCACGGCTAACATTTGTAACTGCATTTTCTTCCGGCTAATACTTACAAGTAATCTGCTGTTCTAGAATTAGAGGCACAACAATATTATTAATGGCTATATCTGTTTTGTTAAACGCAGAACACACGTATACGATCCGATGTGTCTACATATTTAAATGTTCAGGTAGTAAAAACGTTCCCAGGCTCTAGACATCGTACGTCGCTCGCGATGAATATAAAAACTGCAAACAACAGGAATGCTAAGGATTATTGCTTCTTCGCCAAATATTAGATTACGAATTTAGGACAGATATGTAGCTAAAGCACATACGTTCCCTATCGAAATACTAGACTTTTTCTATTATCTTGTTTCCACCTAGTTAGTCATATACTATAAACTTTTACTGCTCTGCTTAAGTTTCTTCCTTACGAGCGTGAACAGAGTGTGAACAGAGTGACAACAGCAGCAGCAGCAGCAAAGGCAAAAAAAAATCGTACTATCGAACGTAAACGCGATTGTGCATAAAACAAAAGATGGCACTAAGGCGTGATTTGTAGCTTAATCAGCTTCAATTCTATTAATATATTTGTTCAACATAATTAATAGGCAAGCGGATCTACTAAACGACTTGATTACACAGTATTGGCAGCGTCGTTTAAAAAAAAAAAGTCGCAAAGGCGAGGTAAATACGGCGGCATTTCGCACCTTCGCCTTCGTTCAGCTCTTCGTCTACTTGTTACCGTTATCTTCAAAACACAGTCAACGAGCATCGAGCCCTGAGCTCTCGCAATGGGTGGCAAGCAGGCAATAGCAAAAAATATTGTCAGCAAAAGATACCAGCTGGTCAGCGGCATGGCTATAGTAACGGTTCCTGCTGCTCATCGCTGCTTCCGCAACACGACATTCATCGAGGGGGGATTCGGCTTTCGTTCGGATGTCTTTTTTCGCACAGTCGAACAGTTCGAACTTCACTCGATCGTCAGCGTAGAACATTTGTTTCGGTAGCCCCCATCGCGGCGCCCTGACCAGCACCGCTGTTACGGCCGCCGCCTCTGCTGCCACAATCACTTGTAACAGTAACCATAACATTCGGACTTTTTGACATCAACGGTAACAGTGGACACCGATAAGGCTCGCACGCGTCCGCAGGAGAATAATAATGATAATCGGACATCAAATTAGACGACGACGACGACAACAACAACAACAACAGGTATGACGCCGATCGTGACAACGCCGTCGGTCGATGTTGCTAGGTAATGATGTTGGAGACGCCAACCGCGGCGGCCGCCGTGGCGTTTAGCAGGTTACGCTACCGAAGAAGGCAGCGGCAGTAACAGTTCTGCCTAACATTAGTAGCAACATGAAACGCAAGCGGGAGGAAGACCGACTGAAACGAAGCGAGCCCGAGCTATAACAAGCGCGCGGCTGCGGAGCGTCTGCCTGTTGGGTCTTGCCCACGACTTACCGGATCAGCCGTTTTATTTGTCCATCCAGCGCTCTTGAACCAGTGCCGGAGCTACGTGATCTTCCAGTTTACACCAGATAGCGAACACGACGAATCAGCGTCGGCTATATAATCGAATATACAACAACGCTTACGACAAAAACCAAGAAAAGTTGTGCTACATTTTCGCGGCCGATTTGGACGGCGGCGAAGATTATGACAAACTACAAAAAAGCCGACAAACATGGGTGAGAGGAGGAGATCCGATATACAGTCTACACAAATGCACACAGGCAAATGGACAGATATGCACGTAAAAATACCATCACCCCCGCCCTCTTTCCGACAGCGAAGTAGCCACAATGAAATACAGCCGAGCTGGAAAAAAGAGGTAACTTAGATTGGGCAGGTGCCTATGAAATGTCGGTTACACGCAATTGTACATTAAGGCTATAATTTGTACATGAGGAATTCAGCTTAATATTGCTAGCGAAAGCCCTGCTATATGAACTATTATTACTACAGCTACCGTTGCTGCTAAAACAACAAACGATATGCGCCACGTGGGCACATCGTCGTTATTTGTGACAGTTGACCGAAGTCTCGGGGAGTAGGGGCGCAACCGGGGCTAACGTTAGAGGAAGAATGAATGACGAAGAGACAGTAAAATAACGGCCCTTATTACGCGTGTTTTTAGAAAAACAAAATTCAATTTAGATGCCTCGCGCCGAGGATATCAATGACACCAACAGCACTCGTGATCATGTTGATGAATCGTGCTTTAGCAGGCTGCCAAGCAAATACGAAAAGCGACAGGTATAAAAGTATGGCAACCATTTATTAAGCAAATTATAATGACCACGATCAGCGGCATAAGTACATCATGACCATTGAGCAATCAGTAGCTCAATGGTAAACATTACAAATAATGGATGGTAAAGTACTTAGCTCTTGGAACAAAGCGCAACTTGTTATATATGAACGATGCCGCACTATAAGACAAAAATAAGAAAAACGTATTTCTACATGGATTAGCGTCCATTTTAAGTGATCGCTCTATATCTTTTGGATAAAATGATGAAACACTATATGCACATATAATCGCATCAGCGGCCCATTATGACGTCTTAACATAATAGGATTGTTACTTTCCTCCATCCTCTGTAACTGGCTTTTATTTGATGATCAGCGAAAATTAGGTTTTGTGATGTTCCACTCGCCCGATTTACTCAAATAAACTGAGCCAGCTGCAACGTCAATTAGGATTAATAACATGAACGAACGACAGAGCCAGCTTCCATGGAGGTAGTGAAATTAAAACTTTAGGACAATAAAATCTCCTACATATACTTCGCGGTAAATATCCCTGTACACCCAAATATAACGCATTTTTAGCTCGCGTTGTCGTTGTTGTCTCGTTCCTGTCTCAAGCCCGCTGGATAGCGGCGTGTTGTAGCGAGGATCGATTGTCCTTTTTGGTCGTCCGCCACAGCTCGTTGGCAATTCAAAATCTGCTAGAAAACTGCCTCCGCAAAGAAAGTTAGAAAACTCCGGCGGCCTGTAGCTTCCAGGCTTACTTTCGGGAAGTTGTCGTCATCGCCATGTGAAGATCATTGCGTTTTCGTTGGTTAATCGTGGGGCTATCCCTTGGACTGGCGCGTGTCTGCTGAAGGACGATAAAGTGCTGATATATCGTTTTGGGACATATAAGGAATATAATAGTTCTTGTCACAGGCCAATGAGTTACAGGAAATGAGCCAATAGAAACTAGACCCTTATCACATTGGTGTTGTTGCAATTAATAGTAAAATCGGCCGCAATGAACGCAACATTGTCGGAATCAATCATCAGTCGTGCGTCTAGTAACGATCGTTTAAGTTAAAATATGTAATCATATGTCTATATGTGTTTGCTAAGCTTGGCCAGCAACAAACATGTACAGGTCATTGTCATATGTTGGTATAAAAAAAAATGAGATAATATTAATCATTTTCGCAATCACCACCCTATATCTATGTAGATTTTAATGTTGGCCAGTGAACCCGTTTATACGTTCGTCTAATGAAAAGAGAGAGCTGCTAGCGTTTATTTTCAATTATATTGAAATCACTACCGATGTCTGTTCATTTCAGACAGTTTAAAAAGACGTTCCTTTAACTATCGCTCGTTTGCAAGAATAGGAACTTGTGCAGATTGTGGCGATAATTAAAAATCTTCATTGTTATCGCGGTGGACGAAGTAAAATTTAGATTGTTCCTTTGTTTCTGAGTTCTTTAATATCCATTTGCAAAACGACTCATAAGCCTTATCCACAGTAACCGTCTAAATACATCATTGTGACCGAAGTTTTGATAGACCTCTAATTTTTGATAGAGACAATTAGTATATAAACGTGTGATATACGAAATTTTATTGATAGCTTTATACAGACGTACGGCTTCGAACATCTTGAGTCATTGAACGATGCCGCAGGCATTCATTCTCAAGCAAAGGAAAATGGTTGAAAAAAAAGTTGAGCAATCAATGCCTATTGGTACCTAAAAAATGTTTTTTTTTTTCTACATAATGTAACCGCGCTGATACGACCAGTACATCGCTGCGCCCTATATATAATTGACCGTTGCACCAGGATAGGTGAAATATAGGTGTCTTAGTCTAGTTTACTGTACTCGTGTATTGGCATTCTTATAAGCAAAATAAAGAGAGCGTAGACAATAGAAAGCCACTGAAAACTAGACGCCTTCATTAGAAAGCTTTAGTTCAGATGTAGTTAGTTATGTAAATAAACATATAAAAGCTAAATAATATTTACTACATATTATATTCAATATAAATACAGCACATAATACTTGACAATTCAGTTCCCAGCCGATTTTAGCCAAAATCAAATGGCGCGCTGTTATGGGACGAACGTTTCGACGAGAAAGAAGCGCCTAGAATATAAGTAGTTAGAACACGACAAGAAGAGGGAATACGATAATAAATATATTATTAAATAGGTTATATAAGGTGAAATAGAATAATTTGTACGCGATTTTATTAAACGGATTATAGGAAACTAGATCAGTAACGATTGGTCCTGTCACAGTAAATCCGCATGAAACCTCGTGCGTTCCGAAACTTCAGTAAATATTTGTCATCCGTGAGGCCGATAAAAGTGGACTATAGCCCGGTGTTGCGGGACTGCTTTTCGATTATTGGCTCAGTAAACCAAATAGCTTTTAACTGACTAATTACGCTAGCAAAATTGCCCATTCTACCTATTTACTATTTTAGAGCGTCTTCTGCTAAGTTATCAGCCGGATTAAAAAAATGTGTTATAAATGTCTCTTCCAAAAATAAATTACTCTAGTCACCTTTTGAGTCACGGCTATCTGCATTTCTCGTTGGTAAACCGAGTGTCACGCTTGACAGATCCGCTAGATCGTATTGCCAAATTCCACATTGATGCTCACGACCCGCTTTGTTGACTCGTGACTCCTTCGACGTCGCTGATGACGATGATTGTTGTGGTAATGAAAAACTTGTCGCCACTTCCTCTTGTTACCTTACAGGAGGTCCGTCTGAAGCAGAACAGCATTGACACCTGGTCGGAGTTAGAAATGACGTCTTACACAATTATGCCTTTTTCTGTTCTCGGCTACTTCATAACGTAAGTTGTTGATACGTATCACACACAATACTGACAGATTTTATAAATATATGAACGCACCGTAACCTCGCTTCAGAACGAACATATTGAGCGTGGTAAAAACGAGGCCTCTGTTGACGCGTGCCTGAAGTTGACTTTTTCTTGGGATGACCTTAGTTGAAGGATTTTGGCGGTCTGGTGTCCACATGAAAAAGTAATAGTGAATCATATAGTGTGACAGTCGTCCGACACGCATTTTGTCGTTTTCATGGGTTTTTTACAAGCACTTTGGTTCAAAAGGAAAAAATAAATTATTCAGTCGGTGGTGCCCTGTGAATACTATGTACGAAGCTCAACAGGCAATACATGTCAACCCTTAAAACGTACCACAAGAACACAGATCAAATCTTTAACAAGTCACTTCTCTGATATATTTGTTTTACATTTACTGGTAGCAGTTGTTTGTTTCATGGGTCAACCATGAACAGCATCAATATCTAGCAAGAAATTTCATGTGATAAACAAAGAACAAAGCAAAACCCTTAGGATTACTCAGAGTGCCAGTCTCGTATACCTGTAATGTCAACCAAAAAAAAAAAATTAATTAAACGCATGAAAAAAATCTGTTTTTCTTTCAATCAACCGAGCTCACCTGTTGCTGATCTGCCAAATGTTTGCTGATCTTTGAGTATCATCGAGTAAATGCGCCACTTGAGTAGATTTGAAATCTGTACCCACTCAAGTGCATATGCCCTTTAACGTGCATAGAATTATGTAGTAGCTGCGTGCTAGCTGCACTTACGACTATGAGATCTGCTACTTTCGTTTTCCATTAAGATATAGCTGCCATGCACGTGGTGGAACCTAGATTTATGACGGCAGACGCCCTCGTGTGGGGCTTGTTGACTTTAGTAGCTCAAGGGTCCAAGCAGCGCACGACGTATATCTTGCTCTGTTACCTTCCATGTTTAGGAGTACCCGATCAATTTTTGCTAGCTCTGAAAAATAATATAGGGTACTCTAATAAAGACGTCATCTTACTACGTAGAAAATTGCTGCTGAGGATATGTTATTGTTCTGCTATTTTTGCAAATTTAGCCGACCGCTGGCGTTTTACCGTTCAAATGAGGTGACTTTTCGCTATACCTACCAACAGTTGCATCAAATGCCACAATAATTAGCGTATTAATTATCACTATTATTTTGAAAATAGACATACTGGTTGCCATTATGTTACTGTGCCGTACTACTTAGGGGCTGTCTTTGGTTTCGTCGTTCAGGTATCTCTGTCTGCATATACTACTACAGACATTAATGAAGTCTTTTATTTCGCTATTCTACTCTTAGCCGGTTTAGCCGTCTTACGGTTTAGCCGTCGCAACGCTAAGTACTCGACCCACAGCGATGGGATTCATATAGCACCACTTGGGTTATATGAAAAATTATATATACCCCATCCTCTCTAGCTGTGCATATTAATAAATATCATAGGGATAAATCGGTACCAGGGATATATATTGACTCGGGCGAAGGTCAATCATTCAAGAAAAATGAAATTGCAGGGTCATGGTGATAATCGTAGATACCTCCTACTCCCCCCTTCCATCTCATCGGTTTGCAAGGTATAACTGCAGGTAAGTGGCTGATCTCACTCTAACTTTCCTATATCCGTATTGATTTAATTTACCTAACGGTTTCTAGGACCTAAAAATAGCCCATACGCCACGATTAGATTGTCAGACACGATCCGATAATTTGGCCATCCAACCATACATCCGATTATAATACTGAGGTATTGTATGTCTCGCTTGTAATGCTCTGCGCATGGCTGTAAAGAAATTGTTTTTTTTGTCCTTATTTGTCAACGGCAAATATAGGCATGTATGGGAGGATTTGGTTCATCGACGTTCACGTATCGGTATGCCTGCAGGTGGAGCGCCAAACGAGGGGTATATGAAAAATGATTTTGTCTTCAAAGATTGTAACAAGTCATGCTTTCGAATCTACATAAAGTTTTCTTATTTGATTTCATCGAATTCGTCCTGCATTTGGACAATTGCAGGAACATGAGGTCAAACTTTCAGGTCTGTGCCCCAGGGATGAAATGTATAGAAGGTCTATGCCTTCGGACTATCTATGCTGACATTCCATGTCGAGCGGCACTTTTCGGTGCCGTTAACCTCCAAAGACCGGAGCTTTTTCCAGTAACGGCCTTCCAAATCGATCACAATCAATATCGGGTAAGAAGCATCCACTGTACTTCTTCATATTCTTTGCTCCTGCTTACAGTTTATTTCAGAGTTAATATTAAAACAGGTTTAACTTAAGTAACTAGCAATGATCCTTATTTAGTTGCGCTGTCAGCCTCTCTCTCTCTCTCTCTCTCTCTCTCTCTCTCTCTCTCTCTCTCGTGTGACTATTATCTTATTCATTGGAAAGAGAAAGTAACTCAAGTGCCTAACCTTGAGCTCATTCAAAGTCAGCTCCGAACAGCCAATGAAAAACCTAAAGTTTGATTTTTCGATCGGCTTACGTTGGTGTACTTAGAAATCTAGTTAAAAATATGTCATTATATTCTTAGTTAGAAAAATGTGTTGTACATTTGATTGAGAAAATCATACCCCATTGATGGGCTTCAACTTAGATATAAGGACGTGTGTTCCTACATTTGTATCGCAAGAAGATATTGAATCGTATAGCTAAATCACGGATTATTCTGTACGAACTATTTGAAAACAAATAAGGCAGTGTATTAAGGGTAACAGATCTTCAATCAACCATATAATGTAGTAGCTGAGAATGCTGGACATGGCCTGCAGCTTGTCAAAGTGCAATCTATCAGACGAAAGGACACGATTTGTTGATTTTTTCTGGACACAATTACGCGGTCTGATAAAGCGGATGTTCGTATCGTGATTGATCTACGTCTTTTGCAAGTGTAAAAGTGCTTTTGACCCTTTTACTCTTGAGCTTGCGTTTAAAATACAGCTTTTGTTGCAATGGTCGTTCAGTGCCTTCCTCTTAATTGCCGGTGGCCCGTAGTTTAAGAATCGGTATATAACACAAAATTATTGAAAGTAGATTGATGTGGCCACATTATATCTCGTGTCGGGTTGAAGATAACAAGGTACAAGCGAATGTACGGGTCTGACACCATATTCTTTTAATATAGAAGAAAGCTCGCCACGTGGACAGATATCTTCGATGCCGCTGTTTTCGATAACCGCTAAATCTTACGTTAGAAGATCTTTCACACAGTTAGGATTGTAGTCTATTTATCCTCTAATTGTTTGTATGGGTCTGACGGTGCCCAATTCTTCGATTCCGTGCTGTTTACAAGATGGACAATCTGGAAAGTAGAGTAGAATATGGGCAATTGTAGGTGATTTCGAAACACCGAAGTGATCCATTTGAAGATGATGTAATAATATTACTGTGTTTCATATAATGATGCATATAGAAATTGCACGTTTCTCATGCTACTACGGTTTCGTTTAGGTCGATATTAAGATTTAGATAAAATCAAAGGCGCTTCCTTACATTACACAAAGCAATTCCCTTTTTTCCGTTATTAACAATATTTCTAATTTCTAGTTTAATAAACGCGCTTGCTTTGCCGGGCTGCCTCATTTTTGTTATTCTATAATTGTTCGCCTAATATAAAAACAAGCAGGCCTCTCCTAAAGCGTGCACCGAAACTTAGGTCAGTGATAATGTATTTTATCCGTAAACATTCCATTCTACCTTTACCTTGAACCCACTTAAAAATACAATACATAACTCAGGCCAAGGTAACATACTAAAAATACCGTAAAATGTAGTTTGCGAATTTTTTCGTATTCGTAGAATGTTTTTTTCTTTCGTAGAATTTTATACACGAAATATGTTAGGAACATCGTGACAGTCTACAATCCTCAATGATCTTGTCACAAGACACACACAAAGCCTTTCCCTCTAAACCACAATAAATCTCTGTCATGCTTTTACTTCACACATTCATACGTTCGTAGCAAAATTTATTATGACTTTATTTTCAGGAGACAGATGAGCTGTTGTGCGTGTACTGCGTGGACAACTTAGAACCTAAAAACACTGCTATGCTGCCCTGTGGCCAGTTTGATTGGTCATCAAACGCAATAAATTAATGATTAATTTATTTAATGTTTGCTATCATCATGGCTATTTGTTGGATTTGACTTTTGAGATTATCCAGCATCAGTGCTATCAGCTACAACCTGATTTTCGCTTTTTAATGTCCGGCTTTAGTAACAATAGATAAGCACGAATAGATATACAAGATGATTATATTTCGCCAACATCTATAACTACAATATGGTGCTTGCGTACACGAAAAAGACTGGAATGAAGTACTGAGTTAATCAACAAAAAAAAAACAGGTGATAGAAATAATGGGTCCGACTTCGCGGGCGGTTTACACCGATACCTCTCTAAGCGTTCGAAGATACACTTAACAAATGATAATTGCAAATGTTAAATAACGTACAGATCAGTCGGTCGGCTGACAGACACTTTTACTATTGTTATTGTTGCCGGACTTAGTGGCTGCCACCATTCTAATTGTGCCGTATCAACGTACTATACAGCATCGCCCCAAAGCCAAGCGTTCTTGAACGTGTTCAAAGATGGACTGAACTTTATCCGACATTAGTTTTTCATTTCTTCACACCTGATTTACAACGAGTTTATACCTATTTAATGTGCCTACAGGTTTTAAACGAGACTTGGTTACAGTTGTTTACTGCTTTACCGCCATTGTCCTATCTCAACTATATTTCTCATCGCAGCTTTTCTATGACCCTGTCTCAAAAAAACCTACAGAGTTAGTCAGGTCAACCCGTCACTTTGTTCCGTCGTCCTATTACCCCGTTTCAGCATTTGGATGACATTGCTTCAGCGGCTTTGTTACTTTGCCGCGCTTGTCCATTTCGAATTTTTCCACTCGTCATCTACTCATTTGGTTATTCTGTAGCAGACGCTCTATTCTTCTGTGTCAATTAATCTTTACGTCAATTTGGACAACTGAGTCACCATTGTATCACCGTTGGCTTTCCTGTTATTTCAAAATAAAACTTTACTTATAATGCAGTAAGCCGCTCGAGAAACCCAAAAAAAAACAAGGAAGTGGAAAAAAATGTATACCTTTAGAAACTTAGAAGCGTTTTATGAAGAAAAGAATCATATTTAACTCGATGGCAGAACATAACAAAGTTTCGGATTTTGTAACCATTGCGTAGAGCTTAAGCAATTAGGTATTTGAATATTTCTCTAGGTTCTAGTTTTCGTTAAAGTAACAGCCTGTAAGGCCGTTTAAGGCCACAGAAAATACTCCTTGCATAAGAGGTACTAAAAGTGGCTGCGACACTCAGAGCGCGATCAACATTGAAAATAACTAAGACGTCATAAAGTAACCACAGTCAAATTCCAACTTTTTGTTGTTCAGCATAATAATGGTCTAAAGGTCACTGACGATTAGCTGAGCCCTAGCAACGGGCCTGTTGCCTTTGTTTTTGCTGAAAGGTCGTCTTACAAATTTATGTAATAGCAAGACACGATCCACTGCCAATAACCCGATTCAAAGACGCGTTACCTATATACTTCTTTCTTGCGCACTGAGACACCGACTAAGACGACCTAATGTGTTTTTTTCTGCATATGAGGGAGCAGGTATTGCCACACAGCCAGAAATATGCATACATCAACCATCAAAACCCTAATGTTGGAAATCAGTACTCGTTACCAATTTAACAGTTTATATTAAAAATAACCAATCCATATACCTTGCCAAGTTAATGTAACTTTATATTTGCAATCTCGGACATATTATGGACCCTGTTGACGATTCTGCATGTCGTCACATTTTCTTCGTTTAGGAACATTGTGCTGACGCGCACTAGTTTTAACTGGCTGGGATATACTATGGCGTTGCAACATCCAAGTTCACAGGTGTTACATAGTAAACAAGGAATGGCTGAATCAAAGATTTGTGCAGTGAACTAGCGCCTTTGTTAGCAATTTTTTAATCTACCAATCACTTTCTATTCAGTTCACAGTCAACTTTCTTCGCTTTCATGAACGAGCCATTGTAAAGTACTGTACTATGCGCCACATTGTCATTACTCAGAAATCAGAATCGTTTAAAAAACCAGGTAACAAAGTTTATATTTTTTACTTTCATCATTATTATTAAATTAATGAAATTACGCGTACCTATATACAACGAATTGTTTTAAATAAATTAATCCTTATTCTTATAGACCCTCTTTTACCACACCACCCTTACACATGTACAAGATTGTGATACATCAGACCTGTATTACATACAACAAAGTTGTACGATCCCCTAAACTCGTTCGCGTTTTTTATATTCGGTAGGTCATCCAATCCAAGTCGATTTTCTCTGCGCATCAGTCGCCTAGCTTCAGCTTCGATTCTCCAACTCAGGAGTGGCTTTTAGTCGTTTTATAGGATTACGACTTCCATATTTCCCGCGCTTTTCATTCGGAACATTTCAAATCAGATGAAAAAAATATGTACTTCAAAACTGCGACATGCATCCAAGGCACCAGATTTTTTCCTCGGTCTTTCTCCATGAGCTCATTTTAATCGAGCGTTAAGCAGGCCGTAATAAATGTCACGTACAACATTTTGATCTGGTGTTAGCGGACTTGTAACAGCTCATGAGATGCCATGTATGGAGGAATAGGTGCGTCTTCTACACTTCCCTTTCTACACTCCGCATCAGTACAAGATTTGCTGTTTTCTCCACACGAATAGAGAACGATTCGATAAGTGTACTGTTTTTCAATAACATCTAGTGTTCATTAATTGCTCAACTTTTCACGCAAGACCTGTATCTGACAGTTTGTACTCTCCATTTCTGAAAGCCACGATAACTTCTTAAAGCTTTGTAATATTCGACCAGCGTATTTTATAAGTTCAAGTTTTCGAGGCCATTTTGTATGCTATCTAGTGAAACTAGACAACTTACAACTTACAAACAAGGCAAAAAAAATTCAGTCGAAGTTATACAGATAGTGTTTGCTTTGCTCAGAAAACCTAACAGTATTGAAAATAGCACACTTCAGAGAAGCGGTCTTTTTCGGTTTCTGTTCTGGGGGTACAGGCAGATCTAGGAACATATGGACTGTCGAACTTCCTTTTGGTTTAGCATCTTACCTCTTTTGAAATCGAATCAATATTTGAAACATGCTTAGTTGCGAGTTCCTTAGTGAAATTTTATGGCGCAAATGCCTCAAGCAAGCGCTGAAATCAAGAGCAGACACAATGGTTATTCTGCTACTGAGTTCATTTTTTATAGAGAAGCGATCACGAATGGATAAAGCAGGAATAATTGGCGTGACGGGAAACATCAGATCATTGGAGCGGGCTTTAGCAAGGAGTCGGACACGCCGTAGCGGTACTCCGATCCGAAGAACGAAGAAATCTTGTTGTATATAAACCTGAACATGTACGTTTTGCGTTTGTTTGAAAAATGAGCACAGCTCTTGCATAACTATCATGACTTTGCTTAGAACATTATTTACTAACTCTGAAATAGTTGCTTTTGAGTACTGCTAAGACGCGCGTAGTTCCCAATTCAAGCAAGTGTTCCGCCTTCTATAATCGTCGTTCTGAATCCACAGCAATTTGCTTGAACGGGGGTCTGGAACGTCTACTACACCTGGTAAAATATCAAGAGATATATGATAGACTAATGTGATTCAGTGCTTAGCACATAACGTCAAAATATTAAGCAACTAGGATGGAACTTGAAAACGCAACAACTTCCTTTTAAAAAATCCTGCGAATCGAATGACAAACAATTTCTCACTAATTAAAATGACTGAAAAGCAAATTATGTTAATTTAGCTTTTAAGTGATTCGTCAGCGGAATAATTATTATGTCTTTATAATTTAGATCATGATCACCGATAACGGTGTTCGACTAATTTGCTCGATCAATTAGACTCTAACTTACAATTCAATTAATTAGCCGTTGTCTCTCTATTAGCCGCAGACCCGCGTCCCGCGAATCAAAGTGTGTTTTTGCAGTAAATATAATTTATAAGTTTCATCAGTTATTTATAAGTTTTATCTTATACAGTGGTTTTGGGGTGCAAGTATAACGTTAGTCTGCGAGTAGGCACAACCTCAAACTGATTCGATCCCCTATATGAACAATGCAAGTCGTGACCACGTCAAAAACGGAAACATGTTCAATTGGCAGGTTCCGGCGTGGTTTTGCCTCTAACCGCAGAAATTATTTAAAACTCCTGCTCGCCAATGATACGGTGTTCATCGGGGTAACTGTCCTACTTGTCTCGATGGTTTCCGCTGAAAAACCAATACCAGTGGATCCATTTACCAACATCTGTGCATTGTCGGTCGGAAGGATCAACGAATTTATCGCGTGCACCATGTTGACCACTGCAAATGGTGGTCGAAAAACTGTGCTCGACGAGTTTAAAAAACAGGTAGGATTTGTCACTAAAATTACGACATCGTTATATATATGGCTTGATTAATGGATGTGTAATGCAGACGAATCTTTGTCTCTCTAGATCCTCTATAAGATTGTGCTAATAGGCTACTTCTCTTAGAAACAAAAAGGACAATGTTTCACAGATCACTTGTCCACACTTTTATTTCTAACTGCACTTCGTAGTGCCTTCCAACCCACCGTCCACGAGCCCGTACTGACCACATTTTGGTGACGACGATTAAGTATAGGCTGCTTGAAAAGTATCCGCTAGATTTATTTGATATGTACGATTGTCGTTAAATGGTTGAATAACAGTACATATATATATATATATATATACACTGAAAATAAAGTAAGCGAAATTTATTAATGATATAACTTGACAAAGCAGACATCAGCATTCGGTGATTTATCGGTGGGCGCAGTTATCCGAATGATGTGTCGCAGTCTCAATGATGACGGTCTGGCAGCGGTTCACGAATACATAGATGCGCTTGAAACCCAGAATGATAAGGAATTCATGGTGGTGACCATCCGAGATTGCGGAGGACCTGAAATTCATCTCGATTAAAGCTATGGAAGATTGTTCCGTGCGTAATACACATAAAACTAATCATTTCATGGAGCGATTGGTCGAAACGTACATTTAATCCAGTTCTTAATATAAGTATAGTTCGGTGAAGATAAAGATAATCCTTCAGTACGTGTATTTACAGTAATTCTTATTTATCTGAATCGAAGTTTGTTTGTTTGTTTGTTCCGTTGTATTCCCTTTATTTATTATTGTAGAACGAATAAAAGAGCTTCTGCCAGAGTAGACAAAGTATTAGTGAATTTTGATCAGGTTCGCAGGTTGACGCAAATGATTCAAACGATGCCGAAGTTGGCTATAAACTCAGATGTTGACTAGACCATGCTGTCATCATGATTGAAGGATAAACATTTTCTGTAAGCTGGCTGAGAGCCAAGCTGCTGAAAGTTGGTCCAAGAGCACTTGGGTCTGCATGTACACGGCCTGCGTGACTGATCGTGACTATTATTACCCGTAGAGCTAGTAATGATGATTGAGTAGCTACACGATAAGGCTACTCGTTTAAGAATATGGCTGATTCGAACTTTTCTATGTAAAACAAAAAATTTCATTTTTAAAGCAAATTAGATGCGAATTCCAAGCCGGTGAAAAACGTGTGATTTTGCAGTACAATGTATATATAGAACATTTGCAAATAATTTAACGGTCGTGATCTGTTCAGGATCGATAATTAGTCCTTCGAATGTTTGAGTTTCTCAAGTCTAACATATGATATTTAACAAGTTATTTCGACATAAAATTAGCAAGATCTACTGTTTTCAACATGTATATATATTATTTACAATAAAACACTGTGTCTTATCATCTACTGAAAATGCAGTTCGGCCTCTCCTACAAGGTAGCCAAAATAACTTGTGTTAAGCAGCGACCTTCAAACGTGCGTTAGGTCGACTTATTCGAAACTTTCAGTTTAATATTCGAATCGGTACGGCTAGCAGTCAGCACGTAATTTCCGATAGAGACTGCCTCATGCAGCCAAAGATTATTAGGTCTACATCCTAGTTAGCGTACGTATGATTGTACTCAGGTCACATGTCTCGGTATCTAGGTCGGTATTATCACTATAAATGAATTGATACTTATGTAACACTACAGATATAGATAACCTTGAAATCTCTAACGATACCAAATATTTGCCCTTTGACAATGGTTGGCTAGCCGTAGACTGTTCCGTAAGATAGAGTCTGTGCAAATTTCTAAGACAACTCGTGTTTTTTTTTCTTTTCCTCTAGTTAATATAGTTGGTACAGATGAGCTTATGGACCATACCGGCATGATCACCAATCTTATTATCACGCCTTTCGAATTAAACTTCGATAATTTCGCGCTCATTCATCAATTAGGGTACGTCAAAAATAGATGTTTACACTAAACCTTACTGAATGAAAAATGCCACATTATATCTAAAATATATGTTTCTGAGTACAAAGATCATTCATGGTTGGTTCAAAGCCAACGTTTTTTTGTTGCGTACTACTTCATAAACTCTTCGGTTGGCTAAAGCGCTAATAGCATCAGAACGTGATGAAAGAACTGCCGTTAAACCTTATGGCTATGCAATCATTAGGTGATGATGAACTATTCAAGTATATAAGTATCACTTGATTGTATTAAAGGATCCGCAATGTTTTTCTATGTTTATTATTATTACTTAAGACTAATAGGCAACGTCATGGGGCAGGCACAAAATCAGCAACATTTAGTTTGTCTATGCGCGTCATATAAATAAAAGTCTAATTCCAACGGTGAACTCACAGCATCAAGCTATTAACTCACCGTTTTACAAGCGGCTTGACACGTGGGTAATGGATTCAAAATTTTCATCAAAGATAAGGACGGTTGGCCCTATCGATTCATTTCGGCCATGGCTAAGGACGCTGATAATCACCCTGCGGCCCGTCGAAAGATTTCCTTCCTCTGACTTACTTTTGCCTAGGAATCGGCTTTGGCATTGGGCCACTCTAACACTAGAAAAGAGAGGAGAATCAACTAGTAATACAAACACGCATACATATGTGTCCACCGTGAGTAGGCGTGCTAGACAGATATGTAAGACAAATTATTATAATATTTTTGTGTAAAGGTACTCACAAATGCCAATGACACTAGCTGCACAATGGCTCTATGAGCCACAGCAAATTATGCTAAACGAGCAAATCTATTATCAGCTGACAAATATGCCTGACAGGCAGAGAGAAGGACTGATGTGAAAAAGTTTCGCGGCGCTTACCTAAGCGCAGCATTGTGCATCTGCTCAGGGTGATAGTCTGTGGGTAAAGCAGCAATTATCTTCCTGTAATTATCGATTAACCAAACCACATAGCCTGTAGGAGAACTGTCTTTCAGGATAGCACGATGCACCACGCCAAACTTGTCACGGGCGGCGCATACTGGATCTTCCGCGAGGCTCAGATAGGCCTGCAGCAGGCCGGAGTTCATCTGTCGAGTTAAGTAACTTTCGATATTAAATAAATGCGCTTCCCGGCATGCCGGTAACACTAGTAGTCGTTGGGGGGGTCAAAGAGAATGATGCGACATCGCTGTTTCACCCCTGTGCAGAAAATCTAGTTAGCAGTGATAGTATGTCGTAAAAAATCTTGTAGAACAAAAAACAAAAGGATCATTTTAATACGTCGAAAATTTGCTGACATAAAATTTGTGATTACTTTCGTTTTGTTTAACACCTTTGTCGGATTACATATGATACACATTACTTTTTTTGTAATACAGTAACTTGTATTGGCAATACAAAATTCGTAACTACAATCATGTTAAATGTACATAGGATAGCTTGCATGTAACTTAGACAGAAGTTAATGTAGTTTCATGTAATGCGATTTCTGAGACATTACCTACCCGGTTTCATAAGGTCTCTCAACTCTGAGGGGCTTGGGTGTCCTGGATTGACTGAAATAAAAAAGCAATCGTAGTGTAGACTAACCACTCCACTCATGAAACGTTGAAAGGGACCTAAAATTGTAAAGAAATATAGACAATATTTTTTTCTTAAGCGTAGTAAACTTGCTATTGTGACACGTAACACGTAACAGTTGCACTAAATCTGTAAGAAAATGTACTTGCTAGTTTTTATAAGCCGTTATATTACACTTTTTTTTATAGGTAGAGTGTAATTTATTGAACGTAAAGTAGTTTACTAGTGAACGTTTGCCTCCATCTACCTATGTCGAAAACATGTTGTTTTATGTTTAAGCATATTCTTTATAGTTTGTGTACTTCGTTAAGAGAAATACCCCAAGCCTAACAATGATGAAACACGTACTCGTTAGAAATTTTGGTTTTCCACACCAAACTAGCTCTCGAACCGGCCCCCTTTGTTTTTCGTTTTGTGCTCTTTTGGTGGTTCCACATACTTATTGTACTTGTTAGAAATATGCCACGCCTATTCGCAAGACGTCGCTCAGTATTTCTACGCCGTCCTGAATGACTGAGTTGGTATGGCGCTGGTTTCTTTCGAAAAATCAGTCGAACTGGGCCTCCTTCTGCAACAGTAGCCGGTGGTCATCGCGTTAGTATGGACGGACACCTAAGAATAGTCTACCAGCAACGCTTAATTTTTTTTTTCTCAGCATATAAGACACCTGCCTCAAACCAGTTAGCTCATAGTTTCACTTATACTAAGTGAACTACATCGCGTCTATGTACGCCATTGTATCTATCTGAGGTAATTTATTCAAGTTTTATCATTGTAATAGTCGATGCATGAGAACTCGAAAGGGACAAAAAAGATAAGGTATACAAACTTACCTGCTGTACTGCTATGTCTGCCAGCTACACAAAATCGGCTCATTTTCGGTACAAATTGGTACAGCTTAAAGATAGCTACTATACTACAAAATGCCTGTGCTACCATAATACATAGTATTATGATCATCTACATTAATTCGCTAACAATTTCCTAAAGGTAGACTAAATCCCTTTATATATATATATATATATATATATATGTATGACAACATGTTTGGTACGTTTACTGCAATTGAACACTTCTTATCATTTCATCTAACACTAATATCTCTGCATAGACACTGTGCAGAGACGATATTTTGAAACGTGACTGCGAATCGATATAATGAGATTATATGACTGTTGATAATTTAACAACTCTCTTGTACTTAATCGCACGGTTTAAGATAAGTACTGTGTGCGCATGCGCATCCATACACAGGATCAAGAAAGTCTAACAGCGCCAATTCTACCTCCCGTTACGTGATGAACAAGAACTAAATTTCGTTTATCCGGTAGCTCGGTTCTAAGGAATAGCAGATTCCTTTTGTGTTTGTCGTCTAGACAAACTCGTGCCATTGAGATATCATCACCTTATAAGACAACTTTGAAAAAACCGCCCGACTCCATCTGAGCGGATGCGCAGCCCCAGATCAGTAGCATTGAAAGAGTGGCTAGGTTTGAACGTCTTTAATATAGCTCGTATCAATGTACCAATGTGTATATTCGCACTTGAAGGCACGAAAAACCTGACATCTGCGGCGAATGAAATTTCGTTATTCGTTCACTTCTAACAATTTCGTTAAAATAATAACAACTGTCCTTATTATACTGCAGACTTTATTATACTGGTCAAGGAGAAAACGATTCCCAATGAAATGTAAAAATATGCAGTCGACGTTCTTTACTTTATGAAATTACACAAGTTCGGGGATCTTGGGGATCGTTACGAGTGTTCCTTTTGATCGTTTAAGAATTAGTTTTTACAATAATTGCAAGTGAATTCTCGATCCGTTCGCTACTCAGCTGAACTTCATAGTGACGCAGATAAATAGATGCGCCAGTTATTGTACACAGCGCTCAATCTATGACCACTTGCTACAAGTGGTCATAGATTGAGCGCATCAAGTATCTGAGGCCATGTCGGTCCGCGAGTCGAAAATCCAAGGGATTTTTGGCGCGATAAAACGCCAAGGGCCAATTTGACTCTCCTTAAACTATTGCCATAAATATTTGATCTCTTCATTTCATGCATTAGCTACAACTAGAGGCAATACATACATTTTATAAACGTAACGTTTGGATAAGCGCCGCTGTCGAAATGAATCGTTAGACTATCTATCACAACAACAACATTTTCTTCATTCAGACAATCGAACATCGTCCTCGTGCGGTGTCTAAGAACCTCTGACCAGAACCGGGCGCAGACAAACTTCGTTTCGTGCTGAAAACTAAAAGAGCTAACTGAATTGATGCTTAACGGCAGTACCGGACGTAAAACTTCAAATATGAAAATTACCAAACTAAGCAAGCAATTAGACTCCATTATAATCTAGACATTTTCAACTAATGGGGAATTGTATTATTGACTTATGTATATATATGTACATAGATGATATGTCAGAATACAACGGTTTTCATGCTTATTCGTGATCATCTCTGCTCAGGTCACCTAAGCTGTAGACATTTTAACGTTGCAACGAAACAGCGTCACTGAAGATCGACCCATGGCCTTTTCTCCGTTTGCTAATCGAGCCCGATCTCTACGACAGTAAATAATAATATTGTTAACGACTATTTAGTTTCTCACTACAATAATGGAACCCTTGTGTATTATCTAGATATAGTAGAAATAAGTGCTATATTTCTTTTATTTTCTGAGAAACACTATAACTGTTTCCTATTCGCCTAATTTGGTCTACGTATCTTTTACATATTAATCCGAAACGTATTCTTTGTGTTATGTAGAATCTAGCTTTCTTCCGGTCGTGTTATGTGTTTTGCTGTTTAATATATGCTAGGAAATTTATTTCGTAGCCCTATCTAGAGGAGTGTTTCCCTTCGTCTCAAGCTGGTGTTTCACTGACATCATTGTCCGGCCTCTTCACGAGGTGCGCTTCAACTGTCATTCGCAATACCATAGCTTGTAGGATGGCATTTTATCATTAATCTGTGGTGTGGGATCCTTTTTTGGAGAATAAATTGTTTTAACTGTTTGCTAGTATATTGCATATCATTCGCTTACTACTTTTTCCCATTAACCAGCGCGTGTGAATGTTTTACACTGAACATGTATGGTTGTCACTTCGGTGTTATTATTTTCACTAAGGAGTCTGCTAATCACTGCTAGCGGGGCCCACAACTATAAAGTGGGTTCTACAAGCTGCGCTACACAATGAGTGAAGTAGTTGTTCAGCGCTCACCCGTGGATTCGCTGAGTCCCAAGTCCAACAGGGTTCACCACCCGCATATCTATTCAGCTAAAAATGAGTCGTAACAACTTATGGAGTGTGACCGTTATAAGTTTCCCATCTCGATATTGTGAATGAAAAATATCTCGATATAAAGTAATAAGCAATAAGGTTTTTCTTATAATCAAGCGCTGCTCTAAACTGTGGCTTTTCGTTATCGCTGGACATTTGATTCCAGACACAAAGCGGGAAAGACGAAAGCTGTTAGGAACTTCTTGCGCTCCCCAGGTCGATAAGCTTAATTATCTATACAGACTAGCAGAGCTTTGCAAAGTTGTAAGAAAAGGAACCGGTAGATTTTCCCAGAAGTGTCTCTTGACTTTTGCAAGACTCCACACCTGAAGATTATATATTGGAATCATTATCAATTGTTGGCCTTTCATTTGATCTGTCATAAAGTGTACCATCTGCAGTTCCTTGATGATTTATTTCCGCAGGGCTCTGGCAATATCGTCATCGGCAATCAATTGAAAAATCTGAAAGTAACATTGTTGTACACGTTGTATCTACCCTTATTGTTTTCAGTAGATTGGTACTGAGGCAAGTTATTGATGCAGAGAACTTGCGGAATATATATTGATGGTAGGTCATCACAACTCTAAGATAAACGTGAAAGTCGTTCGCATTTGCATGCTCATCTGAGTTCTTCAGTGTCACACATCGATCGAAGTCGAGATGAAAAACGACGGATCTCTGTAGACATTTCTTTGGAAGTATGACTTTGTCTGAGGAAAATATTAATAAAAAGGCTTGATTATCAGTTACAAGGGAATTAATCAGTTTCCGTGCAAATAAATAATGATTTTTTAACCTTCCTCTTACTGTTGAAGCTTTTAACTGCGTATTTCTGTTCAAACCTGAACAGGTTTCTAGAGTAGAATACTACAGAACATATTATAGGCTTTGTCGAGAAATATCTGAGATAAGACCTCAATCTACATTCCATTAGTTTAAAAAAATCAAATGGCATTAGTAATCAATGTAGTGACTTAGTTTATCTTTTCATCAGATCATGCGAACATAATGTTTGTCTGTAATGGTTCATTTAGTGATTTTTTAATGTTCGCTAGTCCCGGTGCAAATAGAGAGTCAAATTTTTCCTCACCAAACGGTTCCTTTTTATTCGAAACTATTCTTTAGGTTTGGTGTTTTCATTAATTGCAAAAATCTCACTTGCAGATTTTGAAGTACTCCCTTCGCTTGGTTTCGGACCGGTTATGACTCTACGTTTCTCTCCGTTGATGCTTAAGGCATAATTGTCAAATTCGTTAAAAACGTTTCCGACGTAATATTCTTCCCTTGTGTTTCCAAGCTCGTGTCTATTTTCTTTGGTCAACTTGATCCAGAGTACCCATAGACATTTGTATAAATTTGAATGAATATCTGTAGGCTACCCTTTGAGGACAATAGCCAACTGTTTTTTTTACAAAATACAAGCAGCAAAATGTTATACCAAAACAGGCCTCAACGCTGCAATATATGCATCACCCCGTCCAATAAGGATTCCAGAGTTTTGTACAAAATAATAATTTTTGTAATAAATATCCACAGAAGCTTATTCATATTTATGCAAATGTCTATGGAAGATTCTGGAAGCTGAATTTACCAGGTGTCGTTGAATGCCGGGACGGCATACTAATTGCTGAGAACATTTAAGAAGATCTTTAACAATGTGTCGAAAACATTCTTAATAGATTCGGCGATTCCGTCCTAAAGAATTCTCGTGGCAAAATGCCGATTGACGGTCAGGTCCATAAGATATTTTATCTTTATACTCGGTGGGGTGGGCATTTTAGAATGAACGTAAAATTTATTTACCACGGCATGTCGTAGGCGAATTTTTATCATTTGCGCGTTCTATGTAAGATACTAGTCATCGAAACCTTTAGATTGTAAATGGTTTTTACTCTCGGTAAATTGAATTACCCAATAAAATATACACGATTGGGATTTCCGTGCGCAAAGTACATTTTCAGCGGATAGATTCAAATTTGATCTATTGGATCATTTTAAAGCTTTGTTGAGGATATATTGAAACAGTTCCACCGTATTGTGTTTGCCAGTTCTTTAGCATATTTTTACATCAATTTTTACAAGAAAGCGTACAATTTTGGATTATTGAATCCAACATCGACAGGATTCATCAACAAGATATAGATAAGAGGCTCCAGGATTATACCATCAGTGCAACTTGACGAGGCTCAAGGGGGATTTGAGTACTTCCTATCGACTCTAACACAAAATGTACGCTATTGCTGAGAAAATTTTCGATCTTTTTTAGTATAGAATAGTGGAATGGGTGATTCGCTTTGAAACAGTCAGACATGTTAATGAACTTTGCTTATTCAGAGCGTGTTTCTAATAGCTTGGCGTCTTGTATCGGTTTGTAAACAAGCTAAGCATCAGGGATCAGTTCTTGATTGTAAGTAGTTGCATGAATTGTTCGATCACATTGCATGCATGCCACGATAGCTAATAACGCCAGCGTCATACTATTCAGCTAATTGGAATCTGCCTAGCGCCTCAGCACACTCGCAAGGTTGTCCAAAAAATTGTGAAAAAAGAGCAAAAAATGAGATCCTGAGCCTATAATATAAGTAAGACGGCAATCGCAAAGCTTTGGTTAGCAATTCCCAGTATGATTACTGGGCTAAATCTATTTACAAGATGGACGGAAAATTCGAGGGGACTTTTAGGGAGCAAGGCAGGATGCCTTTGGTTGCGTTGCAGCGATTCATATTTTGGCACATATATGCTGATTCAAAGATAGCACAATTTGTGCTTTTTCCGCGATCATCCGTCGTGAATGTCCCATTTGGGCGTCTAATAGAATTCAGTTAGCTCTTTAGAGTTGTTCTCCTACAACTATAATTATAAAATATCTTTGGGTCACTGTTCGGCGGGGTCCTTTGATTACTCGCTATTTGCAGGTTGCTTTAGATACCCTTCTTTTTGTAATTACGTAATCTTATGCTGATCACATTGCTCTTCTAGCGATTGGTGTACCTAAAATATACATATATATATTTTTATATATAAATATATAAAAAATCTGCGTCCATGCTTTCCGCTTCAATGAGACTTGCTTGCCGATTAGCTGCTAAACTGAAAGTTTTCGTACATACCGTTCATATTCCTAGAATAAGAAATAATACTTTAATTAAAAATATGGATTCTTCATATTTTGGCTTTGCGTTATTACAAAACATTGATATTCACCGGAATTTTACCTGCTTGCATGTGTACCAAACATGACATGTTCCAAGCAAAGATAAGCAATACAAAATAAAGTCATGATAATATCTAAATAGGCACATTACAGTTCTTATCTATGACAATGGAACAGGTTATTCACTATTTTTAATTACATTTATTACGCACCTGTATTTTTTTAAGGATTCGACTCCACTTACGATTGTTAGGCGTTTGACGGGGCTTTACTTGAAAACAAGATGAAAATTGAGTGTATTTATTTCTAAAAATCCATACACAACTAAGCATATGCTTCTTCTGTGTTTAGATATAGTTTCACATAGTTTGTGATAGTTTAGATCACAATAAAAAAAACGTAAAACGTTAAGAGTTTTGAGTTACTAAACCAAGTGGCCAAATAAGAGGTGTAAAAGAAGCTAACTGTTAGCGCAAACCTGAGGTGATAAGCGAGGTAAAACTGTAGTACATAAACTGCATTGTTGATTTTTCTGATTAACAACATTTGGCCGTTCCTATCGCATTTCTATTGATCTAACTGCCACTGCTTTAACTGCTCTGTAACGCTAACTCGGCCCAACTAGACACTCCTTCAGTCGTTCAACGATTACAACCATGAATCCATCGGCTCTTTCCCTTGTAAGGTTTCCGTACATCATTGTAAGCCGCAAAAAATGACGGCAATCATCCGAAACAAGGGCGCATAGACTTAACATAAAATAGGAGAAGAAATGATTGGCCACGTGAGAGCGTGTGCGGCTTAAGCAGTCTGGGTTACAGGCCTTACCTTAGCATAGGCTCGCATATTTGCTGTATCCTCCTGATAGCAACTACAACAGCTACATATAGGGCGTGTGCGACGCAGTCGGCCTCACACGGTCGGTTTTTGTTGGAGCCAACGCCTACTATCGCTACTACTACCGCTACCAGTAATACAGTGTGTGCGCCAGTAGTGTGTAGTACAAAGGAAGCTGTTGGAGGACTTATGTTAAGTTGTAAACGGAACTACAGCGTGTACTGCTTAATCAACTATTAGTGGAGCAATAGTCGACCGCACGAGTTGCCCAAGTTTAAGAGTTACGGTCGACTGCGGATTAAGCAGGTACAGTAACAGTAATAAGGTAGATAGTCATAACGAGCAATGTTTCGAATGATGTTCAGCGATGGCATAATTTTATTTACCGCACAAGAGAGACAGGAGCAAATTATAAATTAGTGATACGGTGCAACGTTTGTGAATTGCTTGACAATTGTACTGTTCTACGTAGAATTGAACTCGACTCTTACTGTAAGAATCGTCCTTGTTGTGAAACAAGATAAAGTATTGTAACCTACTAAATTAAATTTTAATCTACAAGAAAACTTCTGCCGATATTCGATAATACAAGTTGCGTAGATAATAAGATAAAGACAATTATTGTTGTGTATCACTTATTAAATCCGTTTCGTGCCTCAAATACTGAATACCAGGTGTCGAAATTGAGCATAGAGAAGAAGCCTAAAAAGCAGTAATATTTCATTTAGGATTCTCGAATCCGCTCCGTTGGTCGAATCGTATTCTGCTTCACATTAATTCAGCGACGACTAATATATACATACCCAATATAAAAATCATGCGTATTCATTAAGCATAATTCAATCAGCTATTTGTACACTTTTCTGGCAATGCATTAAAAGTCACAACACCTTCAATTCTGTCGCAATCCTATCCCTATCCTCTGTCTCAATTATTAAATACAAAGGATACCATATGAATTGTCGATGACTAACCCCATTTGAAACTGTTAGCAAGATCTAGCTTGTTTGTTTGGTCGAAATATTTCTGCCGCTTACATCCGATAGCTGTTCATAAGGCCTTAAAGGGGATTATTTGTTGGTCATCGAGGGACTGGCTGTTTCGACACCGACTTCCATTAGATTATCACTGTGAAAGATAATCACTCGAGTCGGTTTGGACAGCCATTACCTGATATCGATAACCAGTGATACGAGTCGCTAGCATGGATGTATCAACAATGTATTGTGACTACAACGTCTCGCTTTATATAACTCGCATTTTTCGTAGAAGCTGCTAGTTTTACGATGCGTTTGCGTGACGTCCTAAGTATTATAAGCACGAGTTGAGCAGCGAATGACGGCAGTAAAGTTGAGCAAACAGCTACAAATCGGGGCACTTCATATATTACTATTAGAGTACAAATGACTGTATTTGTGTAGCTTCTACTTCTGCGATACTGAAAGCAAATATTTTGTATAGTCAGATTAAAGGTTTTAACAGATATTTTGACCATACTTGTAGTTGTTTATAGTGTAGTGAACTACTCATTTGTCGTCTGACTATTACAATCGTAAATTAATCCCAATACCATCACAACAAAACAAGCACCGGACGCCCAGGTTCATTCTGATTATCATTAAAGTCTTAACTGAACAAACCTGATTGCGCTCGCAAAAAATTGATGACCGCATTCTTCCTCCAACAAAGCCCATTAAACTGAATCACCATAAAACAGAGGTATTTTACTTAGTGCCGTAGCAAGTAACGTTTTAATTCGATAAAATTAATTAGAAGAAGCTTATACTAAAATATTTTACTTTCCTTATGTTCTACGCATCAAGGCCTTTACAACATACGCGCACGTCGTATTTTCAATTTTCTTTCGAAAGACCATTGTGTTAGATCATAAGAAGAACAGCATACTGATTTAATACAACTTACTCCTGTTTATTTAATTTAAATTTTCAGTTGTCTGAAGATGTCGGGCCACTTTGATCCCTCATATTTTGACCGGCGTAACGCGGAGCTCAGGAATCAGTCGCTGAACTCGTCCACGTCTACCTACATACCACCAAGTTTACCTGACTCGTATATACCACCAACTTACAATCCTACCTACCCAGCGCCTCAATATCAACGTAAAGTATTATCGATCACACAAAACAACCACACTAGGTGTTATACAACCCTATGTGAAATCATTCAGGCATCAGCATATCATTGTTGTTGATTACGCTCATTGCAGTTCGTTCAGTTAAACTATCTTAGCGCTGGTTACCGTAACCATAAGATGTAGCCCTCTTAGCATGGTTATCACTAAACTATAGTATTATGATTATTTAATCAGTATCGCATAATTACGCCAAAATGCTTAGTTATAAAATATGTTAATTTAAGTGCGTCTTTTTATTCTTTTTCAGCTACCCCATATGTCCCTCCTGAGGTTCCTACAGCCCCCTTGATGCCGTCATTTGATGAACATCAGCCACCAGGCGTAAACCCAAATTATCCGCCGGCACAGGTAACCTATACCATAACTCAAAGTACTGCTACACATACTTCGAGGCAGGTTGAAAATGTTCCCTGCGACATTTTACATTATTAAGCCGTAATAATATTCGTAGTAATTTGAGGGTGGCAGTCAAATTATCCGTTTATACCTTAACCACCTAATGGACATATTTGAGCCAAAGTCGTTTTCTGCAAATTTGTTACTAAGTAATGGTTATTAATACTATGTGGAGGCAAAAGCGTTTTAAGTACAACACTTTTCTGTCTTCATACATTGACCGTATGGAAAACTTTGGCTGTTATTATTATAATTTATTTTCTTCAGCTTCTAAAGAAATTGAAATACAGCTCAATTATTAGTCTTTTTCTATCTTTCCAGCCGGGATATTGCCTTTCCGCTCCCAGTTCATACTGCCCTCCGCATCCACCAAGCGACACCTATACGCCACCTCCGGCGCCCATGTAGAATAAACGAAAAAAACAAACAGACTGCTGCAACAAAACTGTTAACACCTGCAAAAAGTATTACTCCGCTTGAACTATATTGCAGCCATTATCTACAAAATCTTTGCTTTTGTGTAAGCAACAATACATCTGATACGTTTGCGATATCCTACAATCAGTTATTAGGAAATATTTTAGCGCCTTTAAAAAATGTGTTCACCATCATTGAACCATTGTTGTTGATTGCATAACAATAATCGGCAAGTGGCAGCAAATAATGACTTTAATTCTGTGTTTTACATTCTGTACTGTTCTATACATTCTATACTACAGCACGCATGTAAAAACAATGCGAATCATTTTGCTATTTATAATAATTACCTTAATATGTTACATCGAGGGCCATCAAATTTCAACTGTATATGTAACTTGGAAATAAAAAATCAAAGCTGTTTATGGCCTTTTTCGTTTTGTGATCATAATCAATGGAAAACTAAAATGCAAGCAAAGAACTTTAGAAGCTTTGTTTAGATTTAACCTCAAGCTACAGTATTATCTCAACATCGCCAACAAAAACTCTAAAACGAATCATACAGGATGATTGCTATGAATCTTTCCCTTACAGTTTTGCACGATTACCGATCAGCAAAAATACTAACTTACTTATTGAAACTATTCTTTGAAAAAGTCTTAAAAAGCAAGTAGTTCCACGATGGCACGCATGCCCAGCCAAGCTTTGATTGAAGCGGTTGAAGAAGAGAGAATGCGAACTTGAAGGGCTGTATCTTCGCGTGAAATAGGAATGCGGAGAATAGCACTAGTGCTTCTGTGACCCTCGACAACTGAAGGCAATGGATTTGCTAATAATAATTTTCTTAGTTATTTCGATGGGTGTAACCTTTAAAACCGGGAAAAGCAATATATTATTTATCGTTCAAAGATGAAATCAAACAAGTTGTCAATTACTAATTGTTACTTACAACTTTGAGTAAAATATTTGTTTTTGGAAAGATCCTAATACTTGGGGTTATCGTACAGCCAAACTTTTGACCACATATCTTCTTGATCCGTTTATAGCACAAGCTACATTACATTGTCGATGAGATCAGCTCGTGACAATAGCTGTACTGAATGGGATTAAGAAAATAAGTATGAACAGAAAACGCTGCGCTACAAAGGACGTCATGTCACGTTTAGTCTATGCTAATTTTTAGATCAGGGAATCAACGCGAAAGATAGATGTGCCAAACGATATATAGATTTTGAACCATTTTATTTTTTATTACGTCTCCTTTGTTATTTATACTTAAAGGGCATCGTGTGGACAGTATAATCGTTCACAATTATAGCTCTGTAGTTTGGTAAAGACAATTGTATCCGAATATATAATATTTGTATTATAGCCTCACTTTCAACCGCAGTTTCACAGGTGTACATTACCGAATAATATAAGCCTTTTTGGTGGCATTCCCTTTCAATATCGTTCGCACGCGAGTAGTCAAATGCATGTCACATATGCGTCCTCTTGATGAACCGTTGTCATTTCGTATTTTTCGCATTGTTTAAACAGTTCTCTACTGAGAAATCCCAAATCCTAGACTCTGCCTTAAAACACGTGTACAAATGCCATGTACAAACCTCTATATATAAGAAGTTCTTGTTCTACCTGTAAACTTTGCTGTATTTCAATAAATGATCAATAAATATCATATAAAAAAACAACGTAAGTGGAAAATTTAATTCAATTCTAAGCATCCACGCGGCATAAACCGGCATCATAGTCGTATACAGTTATTTCGGTACGTTTGCTAACCAGTAAGCACAAAAATACAATTTCGGCTATGTGAGAAGGCATGATCGATCAGTATGGTTACAGATACTGTCCATTTTACTTGTGCTGCTGACGCGAGGCCCATTCATGCTGCATGAATTTCGTCTTCTAGCATGTGTATCAGAATTTCCTTACAGTTATCTTGGCTTCACACTGGCGGTGGTCTACCTCGTTGTATGCCGCCTCTCCCTCGACCTCTACTCGGACCTCCAAGGGCACTTTTTGGAGGCGGAGACTTTGGTCTTAAAGCCTCGATCCTCTCGGTGCATCCCGTTAAGTAGTCATTCGCTGTACGGTTGAAGTGCGCGTTATAAGCCTCCGTGTTCAGGTTGGAATTAGTTAACTCGGGACCCAGTGTCAGCCATCCTAAGAGATATAAACGTTAAAATAATATAAGTGTCTACATTTGAATCTGCCTTCACTTGTTAGGTAATTTGTTTAAAATCATTGAAAATTTAAACTGGTTTGCTACCAACATGCAAGTTGTCAAGGCTGCCTCAGAGTCGGGCGAGAGCACTCATCAGTAGATGCACCCATTCGACAGAACCCGACTCTGGTTGTATATTGACACCAGGTGAAATTTCTTTTAAAAATGAAACTAAAGGTAACTCATCGAATCCTTATTGCCTGTATAAAATAAGTTTTGCAAGGGCCAACTCGATCTCAAAAAAAGCTTTGCAACTAACCTGGGCGTATAGTGAGATCTCTTCCAAAAAGATGCAACCTTCTGCGACCCAGGCAGAAGTGTTCTATAATATGGAAAATTTCTTCTGGCTTCTCCATCATTCCAAATGGAGGTTCTTCAGAAATAATCAAATCAATGTCTACGTTTGCATGAATGAAATCACCATCAGTTGAACGCCGAACTGTGCCCTTGATTCCCATAAGGCAGTGTTCCTTGGTTCGTTGAAACACTGCTCGAGGCTCTACGTTTTTTACCTAGATAAGATAAGTCTTGATTAAAATACCGCATATAACGACACCTCATAAAAGATACTTTGGCAACGAATTATTTTAATTAACCATAGTTGGTACATAAGGTTACGCGCAGTTTGTATGGCGTCACAGTGATTTTAGTGTATACACACTTGACCCTCATTGGGGAATACACATAGTACGGAAATAAACAAAATATATATATATATATATATATATATATATGTATAAAACTCTGCTTGCAGTGATATCGAACACAATACAGATAATAATATAACATATATAGATCATGTTATAAGTGGCTGTATTTTTGCAGACTTACGATTAAATTACCCACTTCAAATGATAGAAAAAACGTCCGTAACAACTTAACTTGGCTTTTGTTATTCTCTCTTGAATACAGACTACTCACTTTCGATGGATTGTTGATATTGGTCTTGATCCAACAGATATCTTCACACCGACGAAATCCCCATTTTCGAAGACACTGTCGTCCAAGATCCAAGCCATCTGAAGAACCACACCTACAAATGTAGAATATTCACATAATGAAAAAAACTTCTAGTCTCTTCCAGGCAGTATATTGTCAATAAATGAAACGCATTTATAATAAGTTACTACGAACCATAAGAAGACAAAAGATCGAGGTGCAGCAACCTCTTCAATTTCGAGCTTCATAATTTCCTCCCAAGACCAAAAGCGCGTGTTTGTCACTCCACAAGATCTTTGGTACTCTTCGAGTGGGGGCTCGATCAAGATGACATCAAATTTCCCATTTAGCTCACGGAGATTATACTGTAGGAGATCGCATTTAAGATACATTGGAGGCGTAGCCGTTTCATGAATGAGCTCATCCTTTAACTTAATCAACTCCTGAAATCAGTTAATAACCGACGTTAAGCTTCTGCATAATAAAATGTTTCACTGTTCTAAAATGCAGAACAGCCTTGGCAAAAACTAGCTGTATCCACATAAATCCAAGTTACGTTAAAAGCAGCCGTTACGTCGACTGTGAAATATGCACCTTGAGCTTGGGATATTCTTCAAACCGATCCTGGATGCCGACGTCACGAATAAAGTTTTGTGGTCTCTGGCCGGTGTCGACAAAATGCTGACAGTAATCGTTGTGCGGGTTTGCGGACTGAGTACCCTTAAGAAAAGTCGATGAATCTCGATAAGCCATCACTTCCTCTGCGATAAGAAATAACATAAACATAACGTTTTAGACCAGCTAAAGCTATAGGATTTTTTGAACATTGTGCGATTCAGTGGGAAACTAACCAGTGTTCTACGGGATAAACATAACACACCTATTTACTTTATGTGCCTTTCCTCTATCGTACACATTCAGATAGTGGCTTATATTTTAGAATAGGACAATGTATAAAAATGTTTCTTAAAGAACATGAAATTTTGGTGAATATATTTAGACGCAGAGATTTCAATCGAAGTTTAATTCCTGTAGGGTACATTTCTCATTCTTTACTTTTTCTTCTACTACAATGAAAGCTACTATCTAAGTTTGTTTTTACAAAATAACATGTAAAAGTAAATCCCGAAGGGGTCATTTGTTAAACCATTAATTTTAGGTTGTCTCCCATAGACTTGTGTAACATATTGACATCTCTGTACTTCACAACTTTAAAACGTACGATAGCCTTACATCTGGCTAAGTAATCATATATTTGTCACTAAAGCCTTACCACAAGCGTTTCTTTTTAAGTAAGCATAAACGATATAATCAGTTGACACCAATCGGTATTTTTATAGGACTGGGTACCTATAAATATGGGTATCTATAAATATTTATGCCGGCGTTCATTCGTTAACTATATAACTATTCGTATTTACCACTCTGTGAATTGTGCGCGATCCCATCGTCTAGTGTTACACCTTGGGCTCCAAATCGACGCCTCTTTAGTGTCTCGTCACCTTCATGAGTTTTGTTCTTCTGGAAGTATCGAGAAGAGCACAAACAATAAACTACAGTTTCCATCTATAATGAATCCTTTATATACGGTTGCAATAATTTCATGATTTTCAAAATTGATTCACTAGTTTAATTTTACTTCAAGCCCATTTGTATAGCCATCAGTGAGTTATTTGTCCTTCCGCCACATATTTTCTTGCTCAAATGCTAACCGTGCTAATGCTAAAATACTATCGCCTGTATAAGCTGAAAGAGGTCATTTTGGTTTGTAGACTAAATATATATTACTACCGAAGTATATCTGCTTAGCTTTATATTAAATTTATAAACCATAGCATAAGTGTCTTCATTCATGTATAAGATGAAAGATATACTTTATGTTTCTAGACCTAATAATACCTCAATAATTGACTCTAGTTTTTGAGACGATTTTTTTCCTTGAGGTACGATCCAGATTAAATTAGTTTTTTTCAACTTTAAGGGATCAGTGACAAGTTGTCACGTATAAAAGACATCGCAGTTAAGCTTCATACAGTGTTATGCTAAACCAGATATATTTTTCTTTTTTTTTTAAGTCGCCTCTAACGTAATGTATGCAACTACACATTCGTACTGATGGCAGCAGGTACGGTTTTTTTGTTAGGGCTTACGTTGCCTTCAAATAATTCTATTTAGAAGCGACGTGCCATATTTATCCTCAACATTGACCAAACAAGGGTCAAATGCAAGATTAGTGCAATATCGAAATATCACCAATGCTACGGTTCCAAGGTACTGGTTAAGTGAAGCGGCAAAACGTTTTTTTTGACAATAGATAGTGATCTGTTATTCACATGAGCACTTGTGTACATACTAACCTCTGTAGCTATTCTTAATGTAGTCTTATCATTACCAAGTAATAAACCCAGGTTTTCAGCACAACCAGCTCCAAGTTGTCGAGCTAAGAGCTCCCGTCGCTTTGCGCTTCTCTCCTTAAGGCATTCTCTTAACGTAGACATCTTTTGTTGTTACCGGTTTAAAACATTCAAATTATAGGCATAATACAAAAGGAATTTGATTTATTTTTTAACATTTACATTTCGTCACAATCATAACATAAAGAATCTTCGGTCGTTACTTAATGTACGGTTTGTATCATTATACACAATAATGGCAGTCAATATAATAAGCACTTCAACAGTATTGGGAGTATCTGCACATATTTTTCAACTCATTCACATGTGTGTGTACATTGAGAAAATTTTATCAATTGAAATTTGAAACACAGTCAGCTTCTGTGATTGTTTTTCATCGGCCGGATAGTCTTGATTGTTGTCATCGGTTCCGAGTGTTTATTTAGATGATCACATGATCTCTGCCTGTTAAGTGGCAGTCTCACAGCTGACCTGCAATCGAACAGAAAGGTGGCGTGCGTTTTCTTTCTTAGATATTTTTATTTGTTTTTGTTAACTGTGATACGCTTTTAAGTGCATTTGGCTGATCTTCTGATCCAGGTCTACCATCATTCGAAGCAGGTTTGCATGACCTTTGGAGTGGGTGACGTCATATGTAGGATGCCCAACAAAAGACACTAATAGATATGTTTAGCGTGTCCTTGTTTTTTGTTTCATTTGAAGAAAAAAATATGTGCGTAGTAGATGCATGGAGTTTTTAGGTTTTTTCATTTGTCCATATAATTTTTAATTAAGGTAGATGGACTAGACCTTAAGAGGGTATCTAAAGGCAGCTCACAACGAAGAGATTATTAATAATAAGGCTTTAGGATACGCTACATGTACTAAAGAAGACGATTAATAACATATTTTGAAAAGAAAATTAACCTTTACGTGTTGAAAACTAACTGTATAGAAAACGACTTTAAATATCAGCATTCTGGTGATAGAATCGATGCATGTACCGATATTATAATTCTCCTCAATGAGTTTTATGTGTTTTAATGTTCTTGTGCAGGAAAAAGAGCAAAAAACAGACAGAGGTGCGCGGAAAATGTCATCTTATTAGCATAGCACGTAATCGATTTTTAAACTGTCAGTAATTTTTATTGCAAAATGGCTACAATCCTGGTACTTATGGACCGTAAGAACTATTTGTTCTACCGATATGTTTGAAAGCTGGTTACCAGTCCTCTGCTCTTCTTAAGGAAAAGTTTGACTTATTATAATAATAAGATTATTCTTCATGATCTTGATTATTACCGTATAACACAAAAAGATTGTGCACGTTTGCTTTTTTCATTTTAGACGATGTCAGAATACTGGGTGTCGACTGGGAAGCGGTTCTGTGACGCATGCAAATGTTACATTGCTGACAACAAGGCATCGATTCAAAATCATGAGCAGGTAAGCAGTTCGTTGTCGATTCCAACAAGTCCGTACGTTATCATTAACTAATTTGTTAATTAGCAGTTGCCGCAAATTCATGCGCCTTCTATTTAGTAAAATATATTAAGCGAGCCTAATACCCTTTTAGCTATTTCAATAAAGTTAAAAATAATATTTCAGATTCCTTCAAATCTTTAAAAGTAGAGCTGAATGTACAAACGATTTAAATAACCCATTATGATGATTATTTAGTCTACTATGTCCAATTATGTAAGCATGATTGACATTCGAGCACCTTTATTAAGCCTCATACTAGCCTCATACTAGGCATCTGTTCTAGTAGTAGTAAGAATGGCGAATAGAATATAATGGTCGTGAGAGTGAATTCGTGCGATAAACTAAGTTCTGTCGGATAACGTTGCATAATAAATCAAACGGTGAAAGCAATAGAACTTTATCAAGCACCGTAGATACACCACCGCTTCCTGCTTCTGTAGTGTCACTCGCTACTATTTTGGATGTAATTGGTTCAAAAATGTTATCGAAAGGTGCGTGCAGTCATTGCAAGCAATATCATTACAAATTCTACATTTAAAGTAAAATCTATCTCCTTAGTATGTGAAAAGTGACACTGGGTAACTACCACAAGCCGTTTTTATTGTCTTTTTTTTTAATCGTATGATTTTATTTCTAATATGGGCATTATCCTCTGCAATGAAACAGAGCATTCCTTGGTATTGTGCTTAAAGAATTTCGAGTGGGATTGGGACTGAATGGCTGCCCTAGTCATTCCTATTTTTCTGTATTAATGCAGCCAATGACAGAGAATCGAAGCACCGTGCACTTCTGACTCATCCTCAACTTGATACGTGCTAGGCACGCGTACCATTTTCCTATAGTTGCAAGCATGAAGATTTAATTTTTAGCAGAAAGTTTTCTTGTCAGATTAAGCCTACCCACCACTGATGATACATTATCCTTTTTGAAATCATCCGTACCCACATTATAGAAAGAAATATGTTACAGACTGTATTCGCTATATATATCAAGGTATGTATGTATGATCTTCAGGGAAAACGTCATAAGGAAAATGTCGCAAAACGCGTCGAGACCATTGCGAAACGCGGAGCCGAGGAATATGCTAAAAACTCTGCTTACGAAAAGGAAATGGCGAAGATCGAGGCGGCAGCACTTGCAGCCGTCGCTAAGGACGGTGTTGCACTTGGTAAGTAAGCCCTGCATAGCTCAATTTCTACACGATATTTTCTATTGGGCGCTGCTTATATTAAATACAAGTTCTCCTATACGCAAACCCAAGTGTTTATAACTTACGTCAACTGCACGCGATCTGTTTCATTGTCAGCAAATATAAATCATAAAATGTAGTAAAATTTACTTCAGAAATATAGTAGTGGTCCGACTCACTTCGATAAGACGACAAAGTATTTCTAGTATACCATACAGTGTAAAGTACCGCCAATTTTACTTGAATAAGCTAGTCCATGGCACACTATGGAAAGTTTTTCAAGGAATTTGCTTAAAGAAAACGTGATAATACACTGGGTGAGTTGCGCCATATTAAATGAGCACGACAAAAGCCAAACTAAGGTATTGTTTTTACCGTCAATATGCATATTTTTGCAACGATTTGAGATATAGCACAGTAAGGCGTATGAGTGCTGAATGTTTAAAAATAGAAATGTTTGATTTATAGGTGAGCAAGATCGCAAACAATATAGAGAATTAGTATCTCGCCGAGGAGAGAGTGCCTATAAGTCGTGCTACGAAACAGCGACATCGAAGGTAAAAAGCGATCGGAGGACGAATTCAACAAGGAAACCACCATTTGCCCCCGCGGACATTAAAACCCCTGACGAAACTAAAGGTGTACCTAGTGCTTGGGTCACGGTAGCAGTACGAGATAATTTCAGTAGAACTGAGGTACTTATCACTGTTAAAACACCAGAACTATAATAAGTGCTGAAATTAAATTGGCGAAATATCGGATCCATTCGATACAATGTTCTTAGTTGTAAAAATTACAATATTTAGTTTATTTAGTCGTTTAATAACCGCCTGCATTAATTACTCCATATATTTTTTGTTATTATACCGAGCACATTTAATAATCCTTAGTTCATTTTCAATTTATGGATCGAAATTGCATTTGTCTTAGCAATTTCAAAACGGTAGAAGCTACTGACTGGTAACAATCAAGAAGTGATGAACACAGATGCTGAACACAGATGCTTGCCAAAGCTCATGATGTGATTCATCTTAGTCACATTTGTAGATGCAAAGCTGTTTCAAATCTGTATCTAAAGGCAATAATATGTTGACCTGATAAACCGGTTAGCAGTCTGGCATACTTTTGAGCGTAAGTAAAAAAGGAAAGATCGTGATGAGCAACAGATAATCTTTTAACGAGCTTAATTGTTGTTCGCTGACTGAAACGATTTTCGACACTAAAAGCATTCTTATGAGGTTTAAGAATAGGCTACCCTTAAAACGTAACCATTCACTTAGCAGTCTAAAATGACATTTTCTTTCTTATTTTGCAAGGATGATGTCTTTTCAGAACATCGAAAACCTGTTGAAGTGAATAACATACCGTTGCCACCACCCGAAAAACGAAAGCGATTCGGTGAAAAGATCGTCACCCTGTCACGGCTGGAGGACGATGATGGCGATGCAACGGGAACAAGCACTAATATCGGATTCGAGTTTAAACGTAAATTTAACCGAAGCAATTTGAGACAGAGAAACATGGATGACTGATTGTGCCAAGCAGAACGAAATTAGATGTATATCACGTTACAAAAATTAAGAAATGGTAAAGTTTTCAAATAAGTCAACACTAATATTCGTCATCGATAGCACAAACGCCGCTTCACAATATGTATATTTATTTCACAGTCATGCGATTTACACTGCTCACACTAAATTTTAGTGAACAAGATTGTCTCTCGGCTTTCGGGAACTACATTAGCGCTATTGAACTGCTTCCTATGTAAACTGCGTCTTTGGGATAAGAATTAACCAAAAGTAAACAATTTGCTTAACCTGGTACTATTGCATATACACTGTTAATTGTTTTGTTACGTGAGTCATCATTGAAAACTTCATTGCCAGAGTTGAATCGAAGTACCAATATGCAACAAATGCTATAATAGTTTAATAGCTAAGCAATATACTGTAAACAGGATGCATAAATATATCTAGGTAATAATTGTTATACTACAGGTAAATAAAAACACTTATAAATATCTTAACGAGGGGTGTTTATATAGCTATACACAGCACTTTATTGTTTTAGCAACAAGTGACTGTATCAAGCATCTCTTAATAGAATAACGTACGCATGCAGATTCTAGAGCAGCAGAGAAAACGTGTTTCGTCTTCACGTAGGTCCGTAACGCGTTTCATTATGCTTTGCTGGTTTGAGGGACGTATACAGTAGCTGAAAAGCCTGTGTTGGATTTCAGCGTCCCCGAAATAGAAAACAAAGGTGAGTTTCCGAGCGCATTTTTATTCTTAGCTTAGGTCAGAGCAGGGGCTTAATTTGCGCTACATAAACGAATACGAGACACGAATACAGGAACGCTATTGAAATAAATACCAGCCAAAGGATTTCCCAGGAACTGCTTCCAGTACTCAATCTGCTTCATTTAATTTTGGATCATGACTCTACAAATTTTAGCATCAGTTTTCTAACTCATTACTATACGAATACGATTTTGCAGGTCAGAAAAGCTTTTGGCGTTGTTTGACATAAAGCGTGCTTTAAATAAGCTGCTGGAAAGATCGAGACTAGTCAAATACCAGAACCAGGGCAGCTATTCAATTTCACCGCCGCGCATCGAGATTAGCCGGCCTAGGAACACAGTTCCAATCAACTTGACTGTTTCTCGCAGCGTATGGCAGGTTGAAGCCAAGGTTACACCCAGTGCCTTCATTTCGGTTTACAGAAGGATTTATAACCATTGATAATTGCCGCTGTTCTATCGCTATGTTCAAAGAAAAAGGCTCAGTGGCATTTTCGCTTCACAAGCCGTGCAACATCGTGATTTTTTGTCGGTGAAGTGACTGCTTTACCCTCATCCTTAAGTTTTGTGAGCCTCATATGCGGCATTTTTTGTTTATTGACATAGCCATTCAACAATAAAGGATTTTCATCATGATATAATCAAGGAAGACTTTTGGAGTTTCTTGATAAATTGCTCCAGTATTTACTCCGTTAACAACAAGTATTGTCCGCATTCTGTGCGACGCTTACGAGGTACGACCGTAATCGCTTCCCCATTTCGGTAATAAATTTTTAGTAGAACCAAACGGTGTTCCAAACGGTAGATTTAGTTATCGTAAATTGCAAATTCTGCTAAGTTTATCACTCAGTAGCCTGGTAGCTTTTATTTTGCTTGCCTACGAAACCATGGAAGGGGGACGAAATTCCTATACAGACCTCTAGACCATCCTTAGTTGGCTTGAGACGCTCAAATGTTATGCCTATTGTCTCATAAATTCGACTTTTTCTCACACCTGTATTCTTGAACGATGAAATATATGGTCAGTTAAGTTCTCCTACCCTTGAGCATGCTCATTGTCATGCTTGAAGACATTGATAAGTTGAAAGCAAATAGCATGAGGTTTACACGATTGCTTTATGTCATAGAGCATGAGAAGGCGTTGTTGTACCCATGTGCAAATTTTCGTAAAGTTTATATCTAGGTGAGGTGGTACGTCCCCTATCATGGCGCCTTTTGTGATACGATTCAACGTGTTTATTAAAACGTCTTCTTGAACTGTACGATTCTTAAACTGAATTTTACTGTTCGTACTGTTTTTTTTTTCTGGATGCACCTTGTTTAATTCTCTAGATTTCAATGGGAAATTCCTAAGCAGTGCCGAACTTTTTTTAACAATATATCTAATATAATAATAATTCTTATGGCCATTCCAATTGGTGCTCATATAGTCAAGTCCTCCTTGCACACCATAAGAAACAATTCGTTTTTTCATGATGTACAAGGTTTTTGCGCGTCTCTTGAACTTCTTTACCATTTGGATCAACCTTGTAAGTCCCGCCTCTCCTTGGCTGGCTTTGTGGTTTAGAGAATTTCTTGGTTTGGGTCTTCGTCAAGCATAGGTCCAGGCTAGTTCGCGCTGTACCCTTAATTTCATTTATTCTTCAGGTGACAGTTTATCATTCCTCAATTAAATACAAGGCTGGGATAATCGTATCCTCTAGTATCATATTATCTGTGACTACGACGGTTACACTTCAGCCTTTCCATGTATGTGGTACTACTCTCAACCTCTACAAGCACTCTAGTGAAGGCTTGACAACGTGTGAATTGTAGGTGATATTTTCTTTGTGCCAAGATCATTTATTTGCCCCTTCCTGAAGTTTAGTTTAATATTACGTTTATAGGCAATATAATTTTAAAAAGATGGGTTGTCAATGAGGTTGAGTTCATCGAGCACTCAGAAGTGCGCAAAGTGTTCATCGAGAATTCAGAAAAAGATTTTAAAGCAGTTGAATGTTTTTAAGCATAACTGTTTCAGAGTGCAATCTGCGAATCCGAACAATAAGCATCAGCACATGGACGTCTGGTGAAATACACGGAGGGGTAGTTGCACTAATCTATAAGAATAATTTGCGAAGAACAACTGTGGTTATTATAAGTTGGATGCAGTGTTATCAACACATGCAGTTCTAAATGAGGAATGAAGCAGGTTGGTCGATTTGTAGGGTTTTCTTCACATGCAGATAAATGCTCAAAAAACATTACAAATAGTATGTGGATATAAGTGTTGTTCTTGTGGAGATCTGGGAAAAAAATGGAAATCTTTATCATTGTTCTACATTTTTATCTTAAAACTATATCTTTCTAACCAGCATTAGAAGACTACATAGGAAGTACTTACTTTCGCACACTATGGCAATTTTCTTTCTCACTTTCAAGAAGTAAGGCATCTGGATTTTCAATATGTAAACAAATAAATGCCTAATAATTTTATGTAATGAACAATAGTAGTTGCGCAAAGAACTTAGGAAGAACGACGATTTAAGCAACAATTCATTGCAAGATATGGCTCAAATATAATGCTTGGATCATTTGAATACTTTTTTGAAGGCGATGTCAAACTACTAAACGTTTAGGTGACGCGGGCTTCTAAGTGCTTTGCGATAATCTCATTTATTTGTAATATATGAAAACAGGTCATCGATTTGTAGGAACGTGACGTGTGAAAGGAAACCACAAATTCTTGAGTTGATCGGTTGAATCATCAAGGAACTATCTCAATATGTCAAATTACGAATACAGCCGCTAGTTACAAAACTAATGCAAGTCCAAAAATTGAAGTTTTTCGCAGAAGAAAATCGGTAGCTAGCCAATTGAATGTACAAATAAATAGTTCACAACAAATCGTTTACCAAACGAAAAGTAAAGTAATCGTCCATAAAATATAGTTAGAGATGTCCATGCTTGAGTAGCATCAACTAGTGATACTAATGGAACCTACTATCCAGTCCTTCTCAATATGTTCAGCTTCTCGTCGAAAAACTCTGCATCAACTTTTCTGCAACAATATTAATAATAATATAGAGCGTTTGACTCTTAGGTGGCTTTCAGTGATACCGCTCGTACAGGGCTGTCATTAAATGGACAGCAACTTCGGGTACTGCAAAAACATCGGGAAGCCTACACTCGACGACGATTTTGTCTAACGGCAATTTTTCTAAATTGCTGTTATTGTTAAATGCTATTGACTCTGTGGCTTTAATAGATACTTACTTTATTTTGTATTGGCTTCAAGCTTTGTTTTGTTGATGCCATACGGAACATGTATTTACAAAGATCCGTGTCTCTAAAATTCATGAATACACAACAACAATAGCTTCAGTGTTAATGAGCAAGAGTCATATATTCTGATTTAATATTAGAAACTCTTTTTTTCATTTATAATTCGGATTTGCTCAAGAATAATGATCTTTAAGGTTAGTATGACAGTGTTTCTTGTTATCATAGTTGTGTAAGAATTTTCTTTTATTTGTGTGGTTATCGCAGTCAGGGCAGCAAAGACTACAAAACATAGTTTTTGTTAAAATAACGAGGAAAGTACTTCGCCCCGGACAGTTATAAAGTAGTCGTACTGAATCTTAAAGGAGCATTAAAATTGGCATGATACATGCTAAGATGAATTCAAGTGTCTACTTGAGACCAGATTAGGCTATAATCGTTACTTTTGTTATTACTTTTCTTTGCATTACTTTTGTTTAGTTATAAACCACGTTTTGTCTTTTAATAGTGGCTAACTTATTTCTGTATGAATTTTTTTTATTTAAAAATATGTAGATAACGAATATCATCTATCAGGTAATCAAATGTTATTGAAAAATCTTTACGGTTTAAAACGATACATTTAAGATTTGATGGTGACTTGCAATATATGACGATGGAAGCATCTACAAATGAAAAGAAACCCCATCTTTAGACATACGTGATACTATACACATGCTCGTCATATATAATCTTTAGTGAACTCTTTTATGGTCTCTGTGAAATAAATGCCAGTATTGTAAGTAATATGCTGATTGTATCTATCGATTGACATCTTATTTGGATTTTCTCAGTATTGCTTTTATGAATTTTGTTTTATGTGTTATTTTTTTAAGACTTATCATAATCTTCATTTACGATATGATGTCATCAAAACAGTCGGGTCATAAAACGCAGAGCTTGCATTTCATCAGACTGACAGATTTAAGTCCGAACGCTTAAATTTTGGTCCGAATTTATTGGCTAATCTTGTGTTCGCCTAATTGGTTTACTACCATCTCCGTTGCTTCATTGGTATCGCCCGTATCCCAGTAGCGCCTAAAGTCTTGTCTGCCAAAGGTTCAATACAACAATGTTTTTGCTCACACCTGTATTAACTAGTTTATTGTTTATTTATAACGTTCTGCCATATTTATCGTTAATAAAATTATTAGTATTGCGATGAAACAATTAGAACTGTGTATCAGTCGGAATTGAAGACTTGCTATTGTTAATACAACGTATAGCTAGACAGTTAGAGCAAAGTGCGCCGTATATTGTGCTTCCACAGGGCCGATAAATCATGTGCCTGCTTCGAGACGGCAGTAAGTCATCAGCAATACAATGGTACCATTTCAAAGGCAATAAACCGCCGTAGGAAATACTGATATCAACATTTTCATTCGTGCTTGCTTTATCTAGAAGATGTCTATAATTTGCTTAGTTTTTTTGCGAGGTCAAATCAAACGGTGATATATTGTTACTCCGTTTGTTTTTTTTTAGTTGCATATTTTTCCTTGATAGTTCTGTTTTACAATTATTTATGAACTTGTTTAAATTACGAGAAATTAGTACATGCACATGCACAGGCTACTGGTTTTATTCGCTGTATGAATAAGATCGTGCTGTATACAAACAAACGTTTTTTTCTCAAAGTACAACAATTATCTGCGTAGGAACACTCTAATGGAAATATCTGGATGGAACGAATTTTGGTTAGATGCCCAGATGTCGTAAAGAGGTATACCCAGTAAAATACAAGTGCTAAAAATGAATGATGCACCACAGGTTTTCCTGGGGTAAAGTATAGTAGATTAGAACTTCTGTATCACCGTAAAGGATGTATGTGCTTTCAGGCATACTCGGCCATGCTTAATATAAAGGATGTTAAAGAGTGTTAATAAAATGCTGTACATACATTTCAAATCTCATTTCAAATCATCTGCCTTGCTCCTGTATGCTTGAGTCCCCCCCACCCTATTATTATAATTTACCAATTAGATACACGTATTTTTGCACTGTGGTACGAGAGCGCCAGCATATCTGAAAAATTGAAACTGCCGGTGGCAAGAATGTATAATGTCATTTTTCATTATCCGTATAATTTTATTAACTGCATTTATGGTGAGTGACGAAAATAGATAATCGTTTTAAACCTGGACTACACGAGCAGAACAGTCGTTATTTTATTTTTTTTTGCAACGCGTTTGAAGTTCAATGCATGATGTTGTTACTCTTACTTGCTGATCATACGAGGTCCAGGATTAAGTACAAAGACTTCGTATGCTTGGGCGTGAGTTTGGAACTGAATCAAATATTACTTCAAGCTAAAGTCTGCAGGGGCGACTCGTAGATTTCTGAATTCATTCGCTATGTCCTTGCCCGTTTTCTTATGGGGTTCCCCGTCCCACCGGCCGCGGTGATCTCATGAGGAATTTTGTCTGTCTCCGACGCACCTGGCTGTAAAGGAGTATTCCGTGTATTCTTGCTTTATCAGGTGCCATCAGCTCAAGTCTTACGAGCTTCTTCCCGTGCTAGCCTAGTGGGTAACGTGTTTGCCTGTTAATCTTGACGACACCTTGTGGTTTAGGGTCGAACCAGGGCATACACAGGCTTCGTTTCATGCTGGGAGCCAACCGCCTGAATTAAATGTCTAACGGCGCTATACAACCTAAGACTTGAAGACAGAGGTCCTGCGAAGTAGCAATCTTGGTCGTTTATCAGTCTTGAATTTCCAAGGTATCGTTTCTTCTAAAAAACAAACCTCCGCAGAGATGTTTACACTCCTGTACGCCCGAATGAGACAAAGTGCAAACATACGTTGGGCTTTTTGCAATGCTGCCCTGTTCCCTGATGCCGTTGACGCCAGCACAAATCAAACTGGGGCCCCGAAAGAGAAAATGGATTCGACGAGCTACATCATCGTTTTCCGTCCTTTGACTTGTCGATTTTAGTACTATCCTTGCGAGGTTCCCAATTAAGTTAGTCGCCTTTGTTTCCGTCAATCATATGTGATGGTCATTCCTTATATCTTAGTTACTTAAATTCCTAAGTATCTCGTGATGTCTTTTAGTGGGCCACCAGTAGCCAGGGCCTGGGGAATCGGAAGTTCATTCTTACCCCTTTTTTTAATTATCATAACAGCCTTGAAGCGCACTACAATTATAGTATTGCCTTGCCGGCTTAGCGCACTGTCGACGGCTACACTTCTGTCAGTTATATCCACCGACCGTTAAGGGCCACGTGACACGGAAGGCGAGATTTCTAATCAGAGAGAATGCTGTATATCCGGTGTTCTCGGCGCCATTTAATCAAGAATCACACGTTACAGTATTTCTCGTCAAGAGACGTTGAAGTTTCACCGTCTTGCATTGAAAGTCCAATTTAATCGCTGTAGAAACTGTCCTGCTTGTTTCATAACTGAAAGACATTTCTGACAAAGCCATGCCCAGGACACCTTGAAAGATACAGATTTTAGTAACAATGCTTAAACCACCGTTTCAATCACATCTGTATACATCGGGTGCAGCCCCGTTAATTGTCTGCACTATCGTTTTTCGTTGAGTGTTTTAGTAAGGCAGTTTATTAACGACCGGGTGCCACCAGGATTAAGCCTACCTTATGTGAGCCTTCGCCCCGACGGCAAAGTTACCTGCTTACTAATTCTTAATTCCTTCCTTATGCCTTACTTCATGCCAGCCCGAATATTTATTTAACACTACTACAGGCTGGATGGATGGAGTAGCGCATTACACTGATTCAACAGAACAAAATCATCGAAATTGGGTTCCCAACCGCGTCAGTAGGAGGGCAGAAATGAAACCCTTAATCAGATCTTTAGGTATTTTTCGATTTTTTTTTGGCTTAGATAAAACCTATACCCGAGATAAGTTCCTAATGAAAAGATGTACCCTATATTTAAAATAAGTAAAGCCCCTTATGACTCTCCGCAGATATAAAACTTGAAAACTAACCATGGTATTCTCATCTTGAATAGAAAATATACATATTTTGATTATGAATATATGTTATTGCAACAATGATTGATCGATAGCAGCTGATGGTTAACCGACCCACTGAAGGGTATGCTCACAGCTGGTCGAAACTAACATACATTGTACTGTTATAACATTGTTTTCTGCGTCCGTTTCATACGACTACCGTCAGCCTCCGTCGAAGATATCAGACGTGAGCCACTTTTTGCAGCTCGGATGCTAATCGTAGTTCTGGAGACGAGGGCCTCGCTCAACGTAATGTTCACCATGAAGCAGAGTACTAAGAACACTGCGAGAACGGACGAACTAAGCGTCTTCAGCACGGCGCGGGAGGCGGCTGTGATTGTGTGCAGATCTTTCGTTTCACCAGCTCGTTCGCCCGCGGGTGACCTACAGCAGTTGTTACAGGTAATCCGATTACAGGATTTATTATTTATTATTATTATTATTATTAAGGATTTGATTACAGTTGCAGGTGGCTCGGATTGTCCGTTAGGACGAAGTCTATGGCGTCTAAGGTTCGGTCACGTTGTCATTCAGCGTTTGCTGTATCTTCTTCCCGATGAGAATCCCTTGTGCCGGTGCAACCAAGCGAGGGTGTCTACAGAAACGGAGCTGGTTGCCCCCAAAACAGTGTTAAATGGAAAGATGTGTCTTACAAAGCTCCTTCGGTTTTATAAATGCCCAAATTTATCATGCAACTAGTCCACATGAGGACTTCCGTCAGGTGCACGTAAACCTTTCCTTATTACGGGGTTTGGAATCCTTCAGATATACAAGAAACGTTGTGCATTCTTGAGCCCTATATTATCTCCGTTGAGGTATACAGGCCGCTTCTCGAGATTATTAAGGTTTACAGGCCGCTTCTCGAGATTATTAAAGGTTTGTGGTACTATGCTGTACAGCGCTACGAAGATATCCATAGAAGACAAATAGAGAACTCTGTCCATCTAGACTGTCGCCTTCGGCTAAGCGACTGCCCGATTGCTGTCAGTACTTATTTTAGCGATTTGAGCGCTAATTACTCCTGGCTGACAGGATGAGAA